ACTTGCCTTTCCCCTCCCACCTTTGCCCTGTCCCCCCCACCATGCACGTACTGACTGCAGATGCAGATGCAGGCGATGAGGATGATGAGGGTGACGATGGCGGCGATCAGGGAGATGATCACGATCTGGCCCCGATCGCCTCGCAGGTAGAAGATGTCCACCCTCTCACACCGAGCTCCCGTGTAGCCTCGCTCACACCTGCCCCACAGCACAGGGGGAGCTCCAAAAAACCACCGCAGTGCCCGTGCCCACCTCCTCCTGGGAGGATGGGCACAACATCCCCACCCTGTGCTGCCATGTCCCCACCAGCCATGACTTACACACAAGCTGGTGCGCTCTCGGCCACGAGGAAGCGGCATCTGCCTTTGACGCAGTAGTGCTTGTACTCCTCCGGGCACCTGGAGAAGTGTCCCTGATGCCTCAGCTGCGTCGTGTTCCCTGGGGGTGACAAGGACAAATAAATCCCCTCCCGGGGTTACGGTTCTGCCTGGAGGGTGCAGAATCCTGCTGTCCACCCCCACGGCAGATCTGAGCCCATCCAGCTACAAAGAGCCACTAGCATTTGTGTCCTTGGCGGTGTTTTGCCAGCCCTGGTGGCTTCCCAGCTCAGTGGCTGCCGTGTGGCTGTGCTAGACAAAACACCCTGCCCGCAGTGCATCCTGGCCCTCTCCCCCGCACCGCCCAGCTCCCATCCAACACCACCAGCTCCCCCGAGCACCCTTACCTGGGCAGCTCTCAGCCATGCTGCAGGCGAGCCCCTCTGTGCCATGGCCGGTGGTGACATTGGCATCAGCACCCACGCAACTGAAAAATGCCAAGCCTGAAAACGTAGCAGAGGTGGCTCAGAGACTGGTCAGAGCCCAGCATCACCACCACCCCACCACAGGCCTTCTCACAGCTCTTGACACGTGGAGGGGACCAGCCAAGGGCTCCACAGCTGCACCCACAGCCCCCTGTCCCTGGCAACATCACCTTTTCCCCAGGGGTGAGGAGAAGGGAAAGGTGGTACCTGCCTGACTCCTCCACCCACCAGCACCCCAGTATGAGGGTTCAGGAGCCAGTGGGGTAGGTTTTGGGGGCACCGCCCTGCCTGCAGGCAGCCAGTACCACTTTGCTCAGGGAGGGTGCACAGAGAGATCCCCAGGGAGGTCTGGGTTCCTGCACTGCCCTTTTTGAAGAGTCTTGAGGTGACCAAAAACCACACTGACTCTGGAATTGGCAGTGCTGCGATTCAGCGCCCACCAAATTCCAGTCGCTTCCAGTGTGCAAGTGCCAAATCCCCACTGCAATATTGCCACTGCTGCAACTGGGGCATGGGATGCCCAGCATGGGCTGAATTGGGAATGGGGCAACCACGCTCGCCGTGGCCACAGAACGTCGCTGAGGGCCGGCTCAGCCCCGGCGCGTCACAGCGGCAGTAACCGGATCGCTGGCATACCAGCACTGACTCAGCACTGCCCTGCTCCAGCCCGGCCCTCCCAGGGATTCACCCTGCTGGGGTGGCACCCAGGGGAGCGGGGACAGGTCCTGCCTGATGGGGCAGAGTGCTGGGTGGCTCCCATGGGGTTGGCACGCCGAGGCAAGGAGTGTTTCCATCCCGAGTGGGTGCCCTTTGCAGCTCAGCCCTGTCGAGGCCTCCTGGAGAGGGGCAGACCAGCCTGGGTGGCGTCATCCCCTGGTACCTGTTCTCCCATCTGGCTTTTCAACACCCTGGGAGCAGCAATGGGGGAGCTGCCTGGCCAAGCCTCCAACATCCCCCCAGTCCCACAGCAGAGATGATCCCAGCACACACGTCCCTCCTGGCTATATATAGCCAGCACCATGCCGATGACGTGCTTTGGGTAACAGAGCTGCAACGGGGTTGAGCCTCTCCCGGGCATTCCCCACCAGCGAGCATCCCCTCCCCAGCTGAAAGACCCTTGTGGGGAGGAGGTGGAGCCCACTGCTCGCTGTGTCCCAGGCAGCAGGGTGGGCGATGTCCGTGGGGAGCCAGGGGATGAGCCACGGGACGGATGCCCACGCAGGAAGCAGCTGTGGGTGTTGTGGGCACGCAGCGGCACAGGGCGGGAGCCTGACTTCACCCTCGGTGACCGAGTTCACAGCTCGACATGGAAAGATCCCCACCAAGATGAGATCCTCACCCTTATTGCAACCAGATGCAGAGCTTTGGCACCCTCTGGGCTGGCAGCCCCTTGGCAAGGACCGCCCTGGTGGCACGGCCAGCTCAGGAGGGTGTATGCCCCCCCAGCACCCAGATCTCAGCACCCAGGAGCTGCGGGTACAGGCAGCCTCATCTCTTTGATGCATGGAGAGCCTGGCTCTGCTATCTAAGGCTGCACCCTCCCCTGAGCAGCTGGAGATAAGCCAGGAAAGCATCCCAAACACCAGATTATTTTGCCATAACACCCCCCAGCCTCCCCCGCGAAAGCTTGAGTTGCAGGAGAGCAACCGCCCAGGGCATTGCCTTGGTCTGATGGGCACCCCAGCCCCCAAAACAGGTCAGCCACCTTTGATTTCCTCCTGCCAGCACAGGTTTGGCGGGTTTTGCTGAGCAAGCGCTGTCACCAGCCCTGCCAAAGGGCCAAACCCAAACTGTTCCCAGCAGAGGGGAAGGCTCCCCCGAAACCCCGAGGCTGGCACTCTCTGCCTGGCAGGTATCACCAAGCCCAGCTGATGTTCAGCCCCACCTGGGGTTATCTCTGGCCAGCTCTGAGCAGGCAGCTGCCTGCAGCTTTGCCTGCTTGCCAGACACATAGGAACCAACACGGGGACACTCACACTCTCGCTGAATAGGTACCGGCTCCCCCCTATCCCCGGTGCTGCCCAGGAAGGATGGTGCAACACGTATTTGGGCATCCACGAGCAGCATCCCATCAACAAGGGCAAAACGCATCACAGTGCTGCTCCAGGGTGCAGCCAGGACCCCCCAGACCCATGCTTGGCCCCAGGGGATTCAGGGATTCAGAGCCAAGCTAGCACAGGCATAGGGGAACACTGGGATGGGATGGTGGGGAGTACTGGCGGGACATGGGGATGCACTAGGATGGGTGCCGGGAAGCATGGGGGAGCACAGGGACAGGAGTGGGTAAACCCCAGCCTGGGCATGGGGAAAGGACTGGGATGGGATTATCCGGAGGACACAGGGAGTCACTGGGATGGGACTGGAGAAACACCGGGCTGGTCAGGGTGAGCACTGGGATGGGACAGGAACAGCATTGGGATGGGGTGAGATAGCGGGGGATAGAAGGGAGAGGCGGGATGGGACAGGGAGGCAAGTGGAGGGTCAGCAGCGTGGGGCCGGGAAGCAGCGGGACGGGACAGGGGCAGCAGCGGGACCGGCCCGGACTGGGACAGAGGGGGCGAGGGGCAGCGGGCCGGGACATGGGGGAGCGCGCAGCCGGTGCCC